TTAGTAGGGGTTCCCTGAGATTGGAACATTATTTTGAGCTTTCCTCTGTGTTGAAAAGTTTGAGAAAGGCTGATGTACAGCATATTACCATTTTGCAGAGAGCCATTGAATGTACTGTTACTGTAGAGGTCATTACTATTAAGGATATTTTTTCCACAGCAACAAAACCAGTACAGGAAGAAGCTGTTTGAATCCTCTCATTCCTTGCGGTCAATGATGTTTGGGCAGGATCGGTATCGGCGGCGGTACTGGATTCTCCCACAGTGTGGCGGCATATTTGTGGAAGGAATGGAGAGTGGTGAAGGTGAGTCATGAAAAAACCAGTCTTGTTTTCAGTTCTTTGTCTGATGTCAGGATCGTATAAAAATGTAATAAAACTATTTGCTTGATTGTCTTGCTAATATTTGGCAATAGCAGCCTTGAGGAGAATTATTATGCATCCACACATCTTGCAGGCAGCCATTTTGTAGGTTGAGGCAATTATTCTTGGATGCAGCTTGATGACTTATATTTAGAGCAGATACCACAAATACCTTCTATTACCTTTATAAGCTAGAAATCCCTTTTTTTAGCTTCTCCTAAAGCAGAAAAGAACCTGAAGAAGAAAGTTTGCTAGTAGGTAGTTTTTTGGCAGAAGAGCATTTATATATGTCTTCTGCCAAAATTAATTTCCATATCTCTTATCAAGTGTATTTTTACTGCAAATATGCAGTGCAGTGTACACTCTTGGTATGTCTCAGAAGAAAGAAGCCTAGTCCCGGAATCACGCAAATCTATCATATACACGGGCGTTGCATCATTAGTGGCCACCCAATGGCCAAGGACACCAAGAGCAGAAGAAGCTTCAGAGAAGATGGAACTTGTAGCTGGGAGGAAGATCATGGAGCTGTTGCTGATACAGCGCAAACATCAAAGGTAAGTTTGCCATAATGTGCAAGTGCTATGCATATTTACACATTATGGCTAGTGCCCCTGCTGCACCCAAGCCCTCAGTACCTTCAGTGCAATTTTTTTTACTAGGGGTTGACTTGTCTGCAGGTCCGCCAGCTGCCATCTCTCTTTGCAGTAAGAGTGCCTCTACTGGCTACTGAGACATCATCATTGGATGTAGAATAGCTGTTTGGTGGGCTTATCACTGAAGCTAGTAAAATCAGTATAAAAGTAGAATTATTTTCAGAGAGGCATATAAAGGAGGTATTTTGGTTACCAAAGAAATGGTAGGCATTTTGTAGTGTCTACAATAGGCGTTTAAAGGTTTTAAATTGACAATGAGCTTTTCAAGTGAAAAATGGCTGACAGGATTCACGTTTGGATATGTATGAGGGCAGCTAGGACATTCATCAGGATACATGATTGATGGCCTCAATGCACCCCAAACAGAAACTTGCTGTTTTTTTAAAGAAGAATTCCAGGGATAGTATATTTTTATAGTTACATTGGTCCAGCTTGGACCAACGTAACTATGCATATACCATACACTGGCCAATACCCCTGCAAGCTGGAAGTCACTGAAGTAGACACCATTACTTCAGTGATTTCTGATTTTGTCCAAGTCTCATGCTGGCCTAATGCGTTGCAAATGCAGGAGGTTGACCACTCAGCACAGGCACCATTCAGAGAATGCTTTACATTTTCTGAACGAATGCAAAGCGTTCTCTGATTAGATGAGGAGGACAGGCAAGGCAGCAACATCATGCTGTCCACCTCGTCCAATCAAATAAAGCTTTGCATTCATTCAGAAAATGCAAAGCATTCTCTGAAAGGCGCCTCTGCCAAGCAACTAACCTCCTGCATCCACAGTGCACGAGGCTGGCCACTCAGCATGGGACCCAGGAGCAACAAGTGATCACTAGTATCAGTGTCTACTTCAATGATTTCCAGCTTCCAGGGCATCAGTCAGGTATGGAACATACATACTTACTTTGATTCAAGCTGGGCCAATGTAACTATGTAAAAATACTGTATATCTGGAATTCATCTTTAAATATTCTCAAAATATTTATGTGTAAATTGCTGTATTCAATGTTATGTAGGACCAGAGGAAATGGCAAAAGAAAGAGAAAGGCATCGGCAGGCTGAAAAGGTTGAAATAAAAGAAGAGAAGCTTGATGGCCTTGATGAAAAGCCAAACTGTCTGAATTCTAGTCCTGGAGAGCAGAAGTGTATGAAGGATAAAGACAGCACCAACTTGTTCCTCCAGAAACCTGGATCCTTCTCCAAATTGAGCAAACTGTTAGAAGTAGCGAAAATGCCCCCGGAAATGGACTTTGTACCCCCAAAGCCAAGTGTTTCCCCAAATGGCTGTTCTATCCCCTTTCAAAATAAAACCAGAAGCACTCCCATCTCTTTGCAGGCCAGCACATCGCAATGCAATCCTGAAAAGACAGACTTGAACCCATTTAGTCCTGTGATTAGCGGGTCTGGCAAGTTTTATAATTCTCCAGTAATTCCCAATGAACAACTGCTAAAAACTTTAACAGACAGGAGCAGGCAGTGGTTCAGCCTCCTCCCACGAACACCCTGTGATGATACGTCAATAACTCACATAGAATCCTCCACATCAGTAGCTTCAACCAGTCAATTGTGTCATCATTCTCAGTCTCCTTCTCCGGTGCCATCCCCTATCATGAACTCTTCCTCTGCACAGAGCTCAGTGGGACTAAGTTCATTCTCAATTTCCCAACTTCCGGTGAGTAGCCAAGAAAGAAGACTTTTGTAAATGTTATCACTGTAATATGTATTGTTTTATAGTTCAAGAACACAATGCCACAAAGGAATTGGTGTATTTTAAGGACACCTACAATGTATTTTTACCAGCAAATCATTGTCTCAGACTGGTGATACTGTATACATACTATATGCTGAACAGCAAAGACATTTCAGAATTTTCTGGAAGGCCTAGAGCACAGGTGTCAAACACAAGGCCCATGGGCTGAATCTGGCACGCCAAGCAATTTCATGTGGCTCTTGCACCTCTCCTGCAGGTATTCCATTGTCTCCGCCCCCAACTTGTTTAAGCAGTCGGCAGCAGAGAGGAGGATAGAACTCCTCTGCCATATCCTGCACCTCTGTGCAGCTGCAGCACCTCCTCATCTCTGCCTCCCCTGATCTCGGCATTCAGCAGACTCTGGTAACTGACTCCGCTCCTCCTGTTGTCCTCCTCCAGACCCTGCGCTTTCTGCTTTCCAGCTCTGCCCCCAAAAGGAGGTGCAAAGTGATGTTAGGGAGGGTGTGGTATTCTTGACATCTGATGTAGTGGGGGGGTGAGGTGTTCTGGACATCTAATCTTAAAGATACAACCGACTCTTTAAGGGCAAGCATAATGCTGATACAGCCCACGATAAATGGAGTTTGACACCCCTGGCCTAGAGTGAATAAAGACCAAATACAACTCCAAGAATCACCATTGATTTAACAGAAATGAAAGACTGAGGCACAGAGTGGCTCCCTCTATCAGATACGGAATGTACTGCTACAAAGTTTACTTTATTTCATGTCTATGGGTAAAATACATTATTCTCAGAGAAAGAGACTGTCATAAGTCACTGTTAATATATCTTCCTAAGTTCTGTGTCAGTCATTTTCTTTAACTTTTTTAAAATATTCACTATTATTATTAGGATTAGGGGCGTTATATCTTTTTTTTTTTTGCCTTTAAAAAACTATTAACATTTTTTCACATCGTACTGTACAGCTTTCACTGCATTAAGTTGAAGTAACTGTTTTTATGGTTCTACCCTGTTGCTGCTAGAAGGCTCCAATTTATCAGGAAACAGACCGCGGTGACTTAATGTGATGAGAGAAATGATTCAATTCTGAATGTGGAGTCTGGAAAATAGTTATTGTATAGTGTGTAGAAGATGAAAAAGTTTAATATTACACTGATATTAATTTTCCTTGCTCTATCTAGATGAAGCCTGGTATACCAGTGATGGGACTGCAGTTTTGTGGTTGGTCATCACCTGTCGTTCCAACAAATCTTCCGTTTTCTCCACCCATGCCGGGACTTGGGCTATCCGGATTACCTGAAGGAAATGGCCCGACTTTCCTCACTCCACATGTTCAAACGAGCAAAAGTGAATCCCCTGTGCAACAGAGTGACAAATCCATCTGTACCCCATTACCGGCTGTTGAATTACCAAAACAGATGGATTTCCCCAGACCTAGACCAATACCAGACGGTAAGATCTATTTATTTGTGCTCAGTGGTCAAACTAACATATTCATAAACATAAAAAAAAAATACAAATTTAGGAACTGTGCAGATAGGTTGTTCTAAACATAGGAGAGCTAACCACAGTTCTTCTGTAGATTTAAAGTGGTTGTAAACCCTTACATATACCCAGTGAAGTGATTGTCCTCAGGTGATACACAGAGATGACACAAATCCTCCTACATAAGTTATACTTTTTGTCTACAGTCATCTTTCCCCTACATCCATTCAAAATGCAGAATTTGCACAGGATCTCTCAGTTCTGAAAAGCAGGGGACAGAGAGTTGAAGCTACATCAGTGCAGAGATCTCTGAGAGCTAATTGGAGGGAAGTGACACGCCCCCCTTCCTCTTTAACCACTTGCCTACAGGGCACTTATACCCCCTTCCTGCCCAGGCCAATTTCCAGCTTTCAGCGCTGTCACACTTTGAATGACAATTGCGCGGTCATGCAACGCTGTACCCATATGAAATTTGTATCATTTTTTTTGTGACAGATAGAGCTTTATTTTGGTGGTATTTAATCACCTCTGGGTTTTTTATTTTTTCTTAAACAAACCAAAAACCACTGAAATTTTTTTTAGTTTAGTTTTTGTTATAAAATTTTGTAAATAAGTGATTTTTCTCCTTCACTGATGTGCGCTAATGAGGCTGCACTGATGGGCACTGATAGGCTGCACTGATGGACACTGATAGGTGGCACTGATGAGGAGGCACTGGTAGGTGCCACTGATGGGCATTGACAGGCATCACTGATGGGCACTGAAAGACAGCACTGATACATGGCACTGATAGGCGGCACTGACTGGCACTGATAGGCGGCGCTGACTGGCACTGTTAGCCGGCACTGACTTGCACTGTTAGGCGGCACTGACTGGCACTGATAGGCGGCACTGATGTTCACTGATAGACAGCACTGACTGGCACTGATAGGCGGCACTGATTGGCAGCACTGATAGGCGGCACTGATTAGCATTGATAGGTGGCACTGACTGGCACTAATGGGTGACACTGAAAGGCAGCTCAGATGAGCACTGATATATGGCACTGATGTGGCACTGATGGGCACTGGCACGAGGCACTGATGAGCACTGACATAAGGCACTGATGGACACTGACAGGTGGCACTGCTGGGGCTACACTGATCATCAGGGCACACTGATCATCAGTGTCCTGATGATCAGTGTACATGTCCCCTCCGCGGAAAGCTGATTACCGGCTCTCCTCTCCTCTTGAGCTGTCAGCGTGACAGCTCGAGAGGAGAGAAATGCCGATAACCAACATTTCCCTGTTTACATGTGATCAGCTGTGATTGGACACAGCTGATCACATGACCGAGCCGACATCTTCGGCTCTTTCCGTGATCAGTGATCCGCTGTGTCCGAGGGACACAGTGCACCACCGATCGCCACGCTGCACGCTCCCTGAGCCGCACATGCGCAGTGAGAATGGGAGGACGTCATATGACGTCCTCCCAGAACGAGAGAGAACCACCTTGCGCCCATCATATTACTATAAGCCGGGCGGGAGGTGGTTAAACAGCACACAGGAACAGAGTTGAGGCTGCCAATGTTATGCCTTCCCCTGTTACCATTTTTCTCTTGGTGTCAGGAAAACTCATCAGAACTCATGACTCATACTTATAGCAAAGGAACAAGGCAGTGTACAGAAATAACACTTAGTGCTCTGGATTGAGACAAGCACATGCTATAGAGGGATATGCTATGTTCATATTTCATGTCTGAGGTTTGCAAACACATTTAGCTGTCATGGCTGCTTCTGTCTCTTCAAGTAATCCCAAATATATTCAAATATGTTGAGATCAGGGCTTCGTGGGAGCTATACCATCTCTTCCGCGCTTCATTGTTCTTCTTTTTACTGAAGATGGTTGTTTATGACTTTATAGCTGTATGTTTGTATGTATGGTCATTGTCCTGCTGCAAAATACATTTTGTATCAATCAAATGCCTCCTTGATAGTACTGTTTGATGGATAAGTGTCCACCTGTATTTTTTGCATTCAGAAGACAATTTATTCTGACCAAATCCCCAACTCCATGTTTAGAATTGCAGCTCCAAACAGGCCTGGAACCTCTGCCATGCTTTTCTTGTATAAACAGGATGGATGTATGACTTTAGGCCCCAGCCATTCACAAAGAAAACATTTCTGGACTATAGAGGGTGTACTAGGGTCTCACTTGTTTCTGATAGGTCTTAACAGATGGTACCACTGGATATCTTTAGATTACAAAGGGAATTGTTCGTGATGTGTCCTCTTGCTTCTTGGCCGACCACTATTTTGTGATACAAAATTATACAGACATATAAAATATATATAAGACACATGAGGCACGTTATCAGGAAGAGTCTTATTGCCATTGGTAATGCGACAGATGTGGGAATAAACTCTTAAGAAAGAGATGCACATGACATCCTTGGTCCATTTTGTATGGGGCAATTGGTATGCTCTTCCAATGTATCGTTAAATGTCTCTTTTAAAATTAGATCATTGCTAAGGCTTGACTGGTAAAAACTGTACCATCATAGTAAGGAAAAAGTAATCCTTTATCACTGGTTATAGAAAAAGGTTAAAGTGGGAAAGGAAATGAGTTACAGAAAGAAAAAGTTGAATAAGAATAAGAGCTCCACCAAGGGGAAAGATGGAAATTATATGGTAGGAGGAGAAGCATAAGAATGCCATCTTGTAAAAATTTATTTGTTGCATTTTCTGCTTTAGAGAGTAAAATTTAGAGAAAAACATCTAAGCAGTCCATTGGGTATTAAACTATCTAGTGTGCCTATGTCTATAGCTAATAATTCCTCCATGCGCATAATGTGATTGACTGTACTGACCCATTAGGGCAGGGGCAGTATAGTCATGGTTTTCCAAAAAAGAGGAATGGTTTGGTGGGCCTCCACCAGGAAAAACCTAATAAAAGTATTTTTTTAAATGTAAGTACCTGAATTTGACCTCGTATCAGCCTCCGGTATCCCTGTGCAGCAGAGCTGGACTGTAAGGTTTCTGCGATTCTGCCCACAATCCCAAATCGCGAGGCAATCTCAGCACAATGCACTGTGCGTGTTTGGGTGCCATTGTTCTTTAACCACTTCCCGACCGGCCGTTGCATATAAACGGCCGGACGGTGGCAGTGCAGGGTTGGGTGGCCGTTTATAAATGGCCTCCCCGCACCCTGCTTGTGCGCGCTCCCTCGGAGCACGCAGCACCGCGATCCTCTGGACACAGTGAAACACCGATCGTCGGACGGCACCTCTGTACGAGGTCCCGATCATGTGATCACTGATTGGCCAATCAGTGATCACATGCAAAGTAGTAAGCAAGATGTCACTTGTGACATCATTGCTTACTACGTGTGAAATCTGTGAATGATCACAGAGGTCACATGGTACAAGGCTATTCACAACAGCCTTGTACCATGTGACAAGCTGTGACCAATCACAGCTCACTCAGTACTTCTCAATGAGTGCAAGAATGCACACAGAGAGAAAGAGAAATGATTGCTTTTACATCCTATATGAGTGTAAAAGCAATCAGTGTAAAAAAAAATAAAAAATCTTCATCACCACCCACAAGTAGTACAGTGTCACCATGGTGACACTGTACTGCTAGGGTGACAGAATGTAAAAAAAAAAAAAAAAAATAAAAAATAATATAAAAAAAATAAAATAAAAATGTAAAAAAAAAATGTTTAAAAATTATAATTTTTGGTTATAAACTAATTTGGATTTTTTTTTTTTACTAAAAAGATAACGGAATAAATTTTGGCAAAGATTTATGATGAAATAATATTTATTTGCAAAATGTTATAAAAAAACCCACTTTTTTTCAAAATTTTTGGACTTTTTCATTTACATAGCAAAAAAAATAAAAATCCCAGCGGTGAATAAATACCACCAAAATAAAGCTTTATCTGTCTCAAAAAAATGGTAAAAAATTCATTTGGGTACAGCTGCATGACCACGCAATTGTCATTCAAAGTGTGATAGCGCTGAAAGCTGAAAATTGCCCTGTTCAGGAAGGGGGTAAAAGTGTCCGGTCTGGAAGTGGTTAAGGGTGATGCAATTCTGCCGCTATTGTGACGTTCCAGGATTGAGCAGTAATCACAGCAAAATGCTCCTTTAAAAATCACATGAAGCTCGTCGCCAAAAAAGAAGCAGGAGCCTAGTTCCGGAATCACGCAAATCTTTCATATACACAGGAGTTGCATCATTAGTGGCCAACCAATGGACAAAGACACTGATTTCATTGGTGGGGGGCTTGTAAATACTTCATTGCTCAATTCATTGTTATTTGCCCTAAAGGCCATTATTTTCAGTAGTAAATAGCAAATAATACTTTCAGGGGCTGGACTTGTCAACCCCATGTTGCAGTTGGCAATGCAGCCTGATCAGGTTCCATCCTAAACCTACAGATTGGACAGTAAAGCAGCAGAAGCACACTGAGGAGTTCATACCTGTGTTTTGCCCTCCTGTAAGCATGTTTGGTTTGTTAGACTGGCAGCCCTGTGTAGACCAACACAGCACTGGCTAGCTGAGAGTGCTGATCTCTGCCAGTCTGAATGTTGCTGTGCAGAGGATTACAGAGTGTTATTATCAATACAATTTTGGATACTTATGCTAGTTCTAACTAAAAACATATTTTAAAGGATACGTAACTGAACTAAACTCTGTTGGTTTTCTATCTGTTTGGATATCAGTGTTGAATGAATTGATAAAAAAATGCTTTAAAAGAAATAAAGCACATCAAAAATGAAATAATCTCATGAATATTTTACATGTGGTCATGCTTTTACTGACAGAAATGCAGTTTGGCTGGTGGAGAATCACAGATCCGGAAGATCTCAAATCTTTATTGAAAGTACTTAATCTCCGAGGAATAAGGGAAAAGTCTTTACAGAAGCAAATTCAGAAGCACTTAGACTACATCACCCAAGCTTGCCTGAAAAACAAAGACCGTAAGTGTCCTGCTGACAAATGAACTGCTGGCTAAGGTTGTGAGCTCTACATTCTCAATCTGCATGTGTGGATTTTTACAGACATCTTATAAATAAAGTCTTAGAACATTTAGCACTCTCTGCGGGACATTTGTTACTTGTGCCATGCAGATAAACTTACGAGTCCTTGCTTTTCTGTTGTAATAACTGTTTCTGTTCTTGTAGCTATCATAGATGTGAAAGGACGTGACAAATGTGAGCTGACACGAGACGTGGTAGAGAACTGGTGTGTGGAAGACCATGAGATGGAGATTGACATTGCCATTCTCCAGCAGGTGGAAGATCTGGAGAGACGAGTAGCTTCTGCTAGTTTACAAATAAAGGTAATACAGAGTGTTTCTTTGTTATGATTGGTTTCATTTAAAAAGCCATATAGTCTAGGCAGCAGGCAGCTACATTATTCAGACCTAATTGTAAAAAAAAAAGAAAAAAGAAAAATTAATTTCCTCATTGAAGACAGCCTCTTTTGGTGCCTCATTCAGCTTTGCTGTGCAAATACAGAAAAATAATGATACCAAAGCCAAGTCTTTTTCACATCATTTTTAGACAAATTATTTTTAATGTGAAGGAAGACCCTAAAGGAAGTTGCCCTGCAATAGAAGAACTCTTATACTCAGCTAAAAAAAATGGCAAAATAAAGTGACTAACTGAAATTTGAGTCAAAGCATCAAAATTGTCTCCAAAAAACCACCTCAATATGGGGAGACAAGAGACTTGAGACTGGAGGTTCACCTTCCAGCAGGACAACGATCCTAAACATTCAGCCAGAGCTACAATGGAATGGTTTAGATCAAAGCATATTCATGTGTTAGAATGGCCCAGTCAAAGTCCAGACCTAAATTCAATTGAGAATCTGTGGCAAGACTTTAAAATTGCTATTCACAGATGCTCTCCATCCAATCTGACAGAGCTTGAGCTATTTTGCAAAGAAGGATGGTCACAAATTTCACTATCTAGATGTACAAAGCTGGTAGAGACATCCCCAAAAGACTTGCAGATGTAATTGCAGAGAAAGGTGGTCCTAGAAAGTATTAACTCAGGGGGGCAGAATACAAATGCACGCCACACTTTTCAGATATTTATTTGTAAAACATTTTCCTTCCACTTCACAATTATGTGCCACGTTGTATTGGTCTATGACATAAAATCCCAATAAAATACATTAATGTTTTTGGTTGTAACATGACAAAATGTGGAAAATTTCAAGGGGTATGAATACTTTTTCAAGGCACTGTAAAAACCTTTGGAAGTATAATAAAAACTGTCAATGTATGCATATACAAACATTGTACTTTATTATTATTAAAACATACTAAAATATTTGCTTCAGGGGACTGTAATTTTAAAGTGTTACTAAACCCACAGCAGTAAAATATGTCTGTATATGCAGTAAAACACAATTGTTATAAACACTGTGAAAACTAAGGGGTTAATCTTCTGCATTGTGTAAAAAAGCTGTTTGATCCTATCTTCTCTGATCCTTCCATTCTTCTTCTGTCCCCAATCCATGTTGTCAGCCATGCTGATAAAACAGAGCCTGGGGGGCAAGCTGCAAATGCTCAGTTTGAGGTTTTTTTCCTTGGGAGAGTGCATGTGATCAGCACAGGGCCAATCAGCACTGTCCAGACAGAGGGTCAGGGGTCCTGCAGCCTCATAGGACAATCTAGGGAGAATGAAAACTCCTCCTACAAGCTTTAAGCAGTGCTCTGCTGGACACTGATAGAAGTCACAAGACTGCTCTAACTTCTGATGAGAAAAGGTATTTAGCAGTTTACATTTACTAAAATAATAGTATTTCCATGTTCTGTGTACTGTGGGAGACCCGATATAGTGAGAGCAGGGTCATAGGTTTTATAACACTTTAATCAATGTGCCCGTATCATTGTTGAATAAAAATCTTCCCAAAATTGGTAGAAGCATGGATTTCATTGTTAGAAATAGGTACACAAAGATAAAGAAGGTACTTTATCAAATTTATAGACTCTAAATGGGATATCCTACAATTTAGGGTCCCAAAATATATTCTGATGCCCTATTTGGCATTTAGCCCTGGTTCGCACCGGTGTAACTTCAGGTGCGACATGTGATTTATAAATCGCACCCGAAGTCGCATGTAATATATTTCTATGGCGCTGTCTGAATCAGTTCGATTAGACGTAGCGCGATTTCAAAAATAGTTCATGCACTACTTATTCCCGATTTTATTGCGACATCAACTCCTGTTAAATGAAGTGGCAAGCCGCAGTGAAATTGGAGTTACAAATCGCACTGATCTATGGCTTTGAAATCGTGCTACTTCACTCGAATTTCAAAGTTGCATTCAGTGTGAACCAGGACTTAAACCTATAAGATGCACCCCTCTGGGCTTTGTGAGTGTCAGTTAGATAAAACTGGATATGTGCTTAAACAGTAAGCCAGTGAAATGGTTTTAAAGACATGGTCATATAGAAAAATGCATGTATTGTGGATGACATTCTAACACTTTTCTCGCTGCTTAGGGCTGGATATGTCCAGAGCCTGCCTCCGAGAGAGAAGACTTGGTTTATCATGAACATAAGTCAGTTACTAAAAGGCACATGGACAATGATGGCGAGCAGCATCCAGCAGAAGGAGGAGGCAATCCATGTGCTCTAGAGCGGAGGAGCGACAACCCTCTAGATATAGCAGTAACCAGGCTGACTGACTTGGAGAGGAACATTGAAAGAAGGTATCTGAAGAGCCCCTTAAGTACCACCATTCAGATCAAACTGGATAATGTGGGCACAGTTACTGTCCCTGCTCCTGCACCATCTATTAGTGGTGATGGTGACGGGTAGGTCATTGACATTAATATATATAACCAATCATTGTGCTTCTTTGCTCAGTGGAGCCTGTTATCTTTTGCCTGTTGCTCTCTGTAGCTTCCTGTGTGTCTTTTTACAGGTCATGTTATCCTGCATGGTGCTTCTGTACAATAATCTGTGTTCTGTATGTCAGCAATCCTGCAAAACAGTTCTAGATATCTAACTTGAAGTTGAAACTGACTGTGGCTAAACTGCAAGACTCCTAGTCCATCTGGGCCTCATTCATCAAAGTGTCTAAAAGAGAACTTGCCACCAATAAGCGTATGTGAGAATCTGAATATTCAGTTCTAATTTGTAATATTTGCTTCGTCTTACCTGCCCCCTTATTTGGGTTTACTTTCTTGACTCCAACAAGAGAAACAGGTCACCTTATAGGCATGTAAACAACTAAGAGGCTCTTTATTAGATGTTTTGCAGACTCAGAAGCTGGGTGACGGCGTGTGAGATCAGACAGTTGATAGGGGACTAATTGTTCAATATCAAGTGGCTTCTTACCCCTGAACCTCAAGCTAAAGAGTCAGGCTCAGGCAAAGTAGGTAAAGCTAAATAAAGGGGCACATATCAATCTGTTTTAACACTTTAATAATGAATATTCAGATTCTTGTATAAGTCCAAATTGGACTTGTTCTCTCAAGAATTGTCTGTGGTGCATTAAAGGAAATAAAATTTAAATGTGTACTAGAAAATGACAGTCGGATCAACTGTTGGAAAATGATTGACAGCCAGGGACACACAGACAGTTTTTATTTCAGCCACTTTGATTGTCAGGCTCTCTGTGCTCCAAATTCAGTAATTTTGCTTTAACTTTGTTCATACTGGCTGTTTACCCCTGTATTGTCACTGCTTGGCTTTTTAGTGTGATTTTGAGTTGTGTTTGATTCAGGCCATTTACTGAGCGTATTCTTACACTGTTACACTGCAGGGCGGAGGATGACATTGCTCCGGGTCTGAAGATTTGGAGGAAAGCACTGTCAGAAGCACGAAGCGCTGCACAAGTATCGCTCTGCATTCAGCAGCTGCAGAAATCTATTGCATGGGAGAAATCCATCATGAAAGTTGTACGTTGTCCTATGTTTTAATGTTCATGCATTTTAGTACAGATGTGTTGATCTGTCTAAATGCGTCCAAACATGTAGGAAGGATTAATCAAAAACAAACAATTCATCAAACAACTAAAATATAAAATGATGCAACACACACAGTATTGGTATGAGCTTTGCAATCAACAGAAAATATTGACTGAAAAACATTATCGTCAATCATAGAAACAATCAAAGAAAGCTGATTTGTTACAATCTGTTCTCCAGTACCTGTTCAAGCAAGGAAAAGTGATCAACAAATTCATGCTATGGCCAATCAACATAGTAGGGTCTAAATTAATCTAGAGCTCTCTATATCATTTTATTAGAGGCCTCTGGTTTTGGAAAGATCATTTTCTGTGGATTGTGTGCTCATTAGACACCCTCTTCCTCTGTACCAGTAATGTCTAGGGGACCCATGCCATTGGGGAATATCAAGCCCAGCTGGATTCACACAGCAATAGCTAACAGCCTATTTGATCAGCAAGTGATCCAATGGTAGTTAGGCCTCATGCACACTGCGCTTAAAAAATGCTGCCTTTACAAATGGCTGTAGGTTTTTTTTCAGCCTGCAAAAGCACATCCATGTCCATGTCCATGCGTACATAGGTGTTTACAGGCATATTAGAAGAGGAACATTTACAGACTGAAAAAAAATAAACACATGAGCAGGAGAGGAGCTGAAAAGCAGAAAAAAAGCTGAACATAGCCTAAACGCATGTACACAAGCCTAAACACATCCAGTGTTAAAGCATTCCAATGGCCAGAACAAATTAATACCCTGGCCAGTTGAATCCATTAACACTTGACTAAACGTGCCTAAATGTATGTGCAATGCATGGCTTTTACCACATTTTTAAGCAGTTTTTTTTACTACTAGGAGTTTTGGCCTTAAGAGGGGCTAAATAGTCACCTTGTGTGCATGAGGCCTTAAAGCGGTGGTAAATTCCGCCTTTTGGTTAATACCTACATGTAAGCCTATAATAAGACTTATCTGTAGGTACAGTAAATATCTCCTAAATGTGCACTGTTTAGGAGATATTTACTTTAGTAGCGACTGGTGACGTCACCTGTGCATGCACACTGCATTCTGAATGGACAGTGCCGTTCATTCAGAGCTCTGTGCCACGTAGTAGTGACGTCATCCCGCGAACCCGGAAGACTGGGTGAAGATGGAAGCCCTGGTAGCAGTGACAGCACATCACTGGAAAGCATCTTTGTAAGGTAAGTCTGCTGGCATGTGCTCATATGCGGTGCATACTAGAAAATTATGACATTTTGACATTTTTCTGCTGGAGCTGTTTTTTTGCGGTTTACTACGGTTTTAATGTCTATGTGTACCTTTAGATTGTTACCTGTTTCTTATGAAATATGCAAGTCAACATGAAGGCTTTTTCTTTACTTTCTGATGTTACTTTCAGAACTTTCTCTCAGCATAATTTCTGAAGCAGTAGACACCCTACTGCTCAACTGAATGTTGGACAGAATAACCAACTTTTATTTGCTGTACTCCTCTCTTGCTTGACATTACTAATAATTCCTGTGTAATAGGGTAAATCAGGAGACTGCTAACAGATTATCATCAGATTTTAGCACATTTAAAACACTGTTGGAAAATTAGAAGAGTAATTTGGTTACTGTACAGGACTAACAATATGCACAACACTTCACACAAGCACTGGAAACATCTAGGAGTACAGTGATAGGGCAGAGACAGAGGGATATTTTGCAAGACAGTAGTAGGGCAAAGACAGAGAGAAATCATCCCTAACACAGTAGTGGGGCAAAGACAGAGAGGGATCATCTGCAAGACAATAGTAGGCAAAGACAGAGAGGGATCATCCCAAGACAGAAGTGGGGCTAAGACAGGGAGGGATCATCCACAACATAGTAGTGGGGAAAAGACGAATAGGAATCATCCCCAAGACAGAAGTGGGGCTAAGACAGAGAGGGATCATCCACAACATAGTAGTGGGGCTAAGACAGGGAGGGATCATCCACAACATAGTAGTGGGGAAAAGACAAATAGGGATCATCCCCAAGACAGAAGTGGGGCTAAGACAGAGAGGGATCATCCACAAGATAGTAGTGGGGCAAAGACAGAGAGGGATCATCCAGAAGACAATCATGGGGCAAAAAAAGAGAGGGCTCATCCCCAAGACAATAGTGGGGCAAAGACAAGAGGGATCATCCCCAAGACAGTAGTGGGGCAAAGACAGAGAGGGATCATCCAAAAGACAATCGTGGGGCAAAGACAGAGAGAGGGATCATCCAGAAGACAATCGTGGGGCAAATACAGAGAGGGATCATCCAGAAGACAATCGTGGGGCAAAGAAAGAGAGGGATCATCCACAAGATAGTAGTGGGGCAAAGATGGATAGGGATCATCCAGAAGACAATCGTGGGGCAAAGACAGAATGGGATCATCCCCAAGACAGTAGTGGGGCAAAGATGGATAGGGATCATTCACAAGACAGTAGTGGGGCAAAGACAGAGAGGGATCATCCCCAAGAGAGCAGTGGAGCAAAGATGGAGAAGGATCATCCGCAAGACACAAGTGGGGCAAAGACAGAAAGGAAATCATCCCTAAGACAGTAAGTGGTGCAGACGGAGAGGGATCATCCACAGGACACTTGTGGGGCAAAGACAGAGAGGTACTATCCCCAGGACAATAGTGGGGCAAAGACAGAGAGAGATTATCCCCAAGAGGGTAGTGGGGCAAAGACAGAGAAATCATGCCCAAGAGAGTAGTTGGGCAAAGACAGAGAGGGGATCATCCTTGAGACAATAATGGGGAAAAAACAGAGAGGGATTATCCATGATGCAATCTAGGCAGGAGACCAGCTAAAATTCTCATTCTTCTGCAGTGAATCAGGGAGAAGCACAAATGATCAAAGCCACACACCTGGCTGTCACTCCACAAGGGAGGATGCATTTGTAGGCAGTATGTGCTTAATGGAAAGAGTCCATGTCAGTACTGACTATGCAAATGGAGTGAATTCTCTGCACCTATTGTAATCTTGACCTATGTCATGAATGGGGGTACAAAGCTGCTACTTGCCTAACTCTCCCCTTTAATTCATCTCTTGACAAAGTGGAAGTTAAGTAAAAGTTGAAAATGGCTGATGCAAGTTAGTGATATATTTAAATGTATTTTTACAACATATTTTTAGGGCCCACTTTAAAATGCAGCTTATAATACTCGTAAATCAGAATTGGGATAGGATAGAAGTGTTACTGGACAATAATGGATTCTCTCCTACCTACTGTTGCTCATTGTTCTTGCTTAATGTGTGTATTGCAGTACTGCCAAATATGTCGCAAAGGAGATAATGAAGAATTGCTGCTTTTGTGTGATGGATGTGATAAAGGATGTCACACATACTGCCACAAGCCCAAAATCACTGCTATACCAGAGGGTGACTGGTTCTGTCCTGCCTGCATTGCTAAGGTAAGACATACCTCACCTTATGGGAACTAATGAGCTAATTATATGTGAAATAAAATGAGCCGAGGACGGTTATTTGGGCATACAGTATAATATTATCCCCCTTGGAAGCACACTCAGCAGCTGTTCCCAGATATGCACGGAAATGATGAGGCCCAGAGGTACCCAGAGCATGCTTGGAGGTACATTCATATACCAAGGGTACTTTAGCATCCCTTGCAAGACTGAATATTACAATAATGTATCTACTTGTAATGTTCATTAAGACCAATACATCTATTTATGAACACATTTTTTGTGCATTCTGAAGCCACTGTTTTGGTTTTTTTTATCTCCCTTGTATTATTTGTGTATTGGTCATCAGTTAGCCTTAGAAAACAGCATCTTGTTTGCATTTTAGGCAAGTGGACAGACTTTAAAAATGAAGAAGGCCAATTTAAAAGGGAAAAAGAGTTCTGAGCCGAAGAAAGGAAAAAAGGCATCCGGTGAAGCAGAGGATGAAGATATTGCAACAACTGGTGGCTCTGGAAAAAAGGGAAGTAAAGACAGTAAAAAAAGAAAAATAGAAGAAAATAACTCTAGTCCCTCAAAACAAGAGACTTCACCTGCATCTAAGAAGTCAAAACACCACACAAAGGATGATGCCAAGGAACTGGCTCTCTGCAGGTAAAGCATTTTGGTTTAGGTAACTTAACCAGTTAAGAACTTCCCTGGCACAGTCACACATACACATCACTTTGGTCACAGTCCAATTCACTTGCCACTATGTTTTAGGCTTTGAGATGGAAAACCATAAAACATGGGGAAAACATATAAATTCTGTTCAGTTAGTGTGATGGAACTTGAACTCAGGACCCTAGCACTGGAAGTCCTCCCTGTTAACCACTGCAGCATGACACTGCACAGATTGTATTACAGGTGAAGTTTAGATATTATTTTTATATGCTGTACCAATGTAAATATGCATATTTCATACCTAATTGATGCCTATTTAAGCTGTAAATCAATGTAGTAGTTGCTGCATCCATAGTAATAACAGCAGTCTTACGGATCCTGTGCCAAGTGGTTGCCCTACTGCATAGCAAAGTCGTCACTTGCTTGGCACTGCCGCCCTTCAGGGAAAGTCTTGTATTTTTTTCAGTGAATACAAGGTGTTCTCTAAGATTGTGACATCACCACCCTACCTCTCCCTTCACTCTGTCACCCAGAGAAACCATTAAAGTGACACTAAACTCAAATTATTTTATCGTTCGTCTAAAATATCAAGTATAGCATAGCTCTGTTTTTTTTAAGTCTCTTTACCGTTTTTTTTCAGGCTTCTTTTTTGTCCTGTGCACGCTCCCTGTCCTCCACTGATATACCTCACTCCTAATAGTGTAGAGCAAGCAGTGCCTTTATTTCTGGTCACATGCTGCACTCTATGTGTACTACAATTCTCATAGAGATGAATATGTCTTCACGTAGATGTGTGGTCCACCTTGGGGGGCGGGAAAGGGTGGCTACATTCATATACACAAGGTGGGCATGGAGAGTGAATGTAGTAACCCTAGGAACAGAAAATCTGAGAAAAGCGGAAAAAAGCTTGTATCTGAGAGATGGAACAAGGGATAAGAGAGATAAAAAAATACATTCTAGTTATCAGGGCTTTTTTTCTATGAGAATAGGTACAGGAACCCCCCCCCCCCCTTCCCTGTGTTTCCGCCCCCTACCCACCTCCAAGCACTATTCCTTGGTTCCACCCCCTACCCATCTCCCAGTACCACCCCTTATATAGAATACAGCACCAAATGTAATTTTGTGGTGCTAAGTAATTTTTATGGAACTTAATGATAACAAGAAAGGCAGTAAAATAGAGTCCCTGTAGCTAGCAACAATAGAGCCCCTCCTCCGTCAACATAGATTCTCTCCAGCAATAATAGATCCCCCAGCAGCCAGCAACAATAGACCTCCCCAGTAACAATAGGCCCCCCCCCCCAACAACAATGGACCCCCCAGCGACAATAGATGCACCTCAGCGACAATAGGCTCTCAACAGCCAGCATCAATAGACCCTCCAGCAGCCAGCATCAATGTACTCCTCCTTCAACAATATATCCCTCCCAGCAATGATTGACACCTAGGAACATAAGATCCACCCCCAGCAAAAATAGATCCCCACCAGCAACAATAGACCTCCCCAGCTACAATAGACCTCTCCTGCAACAATAGCTTCCCCCCAAAAAAAATCCACTCCAGCACCCTGGATACCCAGCAGCCCTTGTCATTACATACATTCGGTGCTGGAGGTACCAGGACTGCGTTCCCCTGCTTTCCTGATGAAAAAAAGCCCTGCAAGTTATCTTTAAACATACTGTGTTTAGTTTATTTTATAAAATAAAAAAAAAAATCAAGTTTCGTGGCACTTTAAAGCGGAACTAAACTCTCCCATCCTTTTCAGCCAAGGAACTCCCATCCTAGTCTCTGTTTGATCTGCAACTGCCATGGTGCTGCACATGTGATCAGTTATGACACCAACCATTTGATGGTTTGACAGTTTGGTTGAGAGCACCAGCAAATGTGATAGTTATGATTCCCAACATGCCGGAAATGTAACTGTTTTTTTTAGACCGTTAAATCGATGGGTTTAGTTCCACTTTAAATTATTTCATATTCTTGCACAGCTGAAAAAAAAAAAAAGAACATCTGGGTTTTGGTTGGCTGAGATGTGCTGTGTATCACAGTGGATGCTGTGGATCCTTCTCTTCCTTCTTCCTTCTAGCTGTTGTTTACTAACCATAGAATGACTGACTGCTGCAAGGAAACTTGTGCAATAGTGGGTTCAGCAGCACGAAGAGGATTTTCGAAGGAACAAGGGCACAGTTGTATCCTCTACATCAGGCTATGAGGGGGGCAAATGTTTATTCTCCTTTTTATAATTAAGTCCAGCTCAACTGTATGCCCCCGTTTACAGTCTGGTGACTCTCAACATGTGACATAACTTATGTAGTTAGGATTGTAAAATAACCAAGACGACACAAACTACACCCTGAACACAATAAATCCTTGCGTGAAATTTTTCTAGGAGATTTTTGATGGATTAGAAACTACAATGAGCATGTGTGGCAATGACTTTATCCAAATGTCATGTAGTCTCAGATACATCTGAAAAAAAATCAATATTTGTTGCCTGTGCAGTGGCTGGAATCTGTGTTGGTTAAAGCTATTATTTTATTTTATCAGTGCAATTTTGTCTGAGATGGAATCTCATGAGGATGCCTGGCCTTTTCTGCTTCCTGTTAACTTGAAACTTGTCCCTGGCTACAAAAAGGTCATCAAGAAGCCCATGGACTTTGCAACGATTCGAGAAAAGCTTAGCAGTGGGCAGTAAGTATGACCGATGTTCCCCATCATCTTAGTTTATGGGTACATACCATTAACAGAACTGTAGTATATGTCAAGTATGTTCGGTTTATCTGAAGTAAGAACTGTTTGTGTGCCTCCCAATTATTTGCTGTGCAAAAGCAAGACTCCATTTAGGTATAACCTTATCATACTGAAATACTTCCAATCATTTCAGGTACCTATATTCAGAAAAAAACAATAATATATTGTGTG